CAACATCTCACTCAAACTTAATTAAAAATCTTCTTGATCAGGCCATTGAGTCTTCTGCTAAACCCCCATTGTTTTGTACTGATCCCTTCCAAGAACCCATATTCTGATATTGTAGGTCATGGTCCAGCAACTGAATCTCAGCCTTCCCTTTGCTGTATGTACATAGTTCTTGATTTTCCTACATGCTCTGTTATCTTCCAAAATCATAACACTGTACTAGGTTACCAAATCTTTTGACATTAATCCAGAGCATCTAGAATATCTAATTTGGCTTTGAAAAATATCTGTATCTTCTCAACATTCAGGCTACAAGTGCATTTGAAAGTATTCGTTAGTATTCATATAAACTAGATAAAAATGGGAGATACTTGGTAGCTTAATACACACTACATGATATTCTAATGTGTCTTATACATCCTCCAGGGAAATGACACACCATTGGTTCTATGTGTGGCTATTTCCATACCATTTTCCAAATCAAAATACCACAAGCCTCGCCTGTGTCCAGTCTCCTTGGTACGGGGTACAACTGTTTCATTACTTCCCAACACACGTTAACCTTCTGCATTTTATGTGAAGCGTGGAACCTGGCTTCCTTTTGGGATGGTTTAACTTTATTCTCTGGGGTATTATTCATCCCTCTTCTCTAATTTCTTTTTTTTTTTAATTTTTTTTTAATGTTTTATTTATTTTTAGGAGAGAGAGAGAGAGAGAGACAGACAGCGTGAGCAGGGGAGGGTCAGAGAGAGAGGGAATCACAGAATGAAACAGGCTCCAGGCTCCGAGCTGGCAGTCAGCACAGAGCCCGANCAGGCTCCGAGCTGGCAGTCAGCACAGAGCCCGACGCGGGGCTCGAACCCACGAACCACGAGATCATGACCTAAGCGAAAGTCGGTCGCTTAACCGACTAAGCCACCCAGGCGCCCCCCCTCTTCTCTAATTTCAAAGGGGCACAAGAAAAAGAAAACCCTCCTGCTCCTCAATGTCTCATTCTTCTGTTAGTAACCTCAACACTAATTTTGATTCTGCTTGGTCTCCTTGAAATCTTTATTTCTGCTTTGTCTCCTGGATTGGGTGTGCTCCATGATGTCTAAAGACCATTCATTCTGATGGGTTTCAAGTGTTTTGCCTTTTATGTCAGAGAGACCAGCTTACATTTATGGAGCATATAATTGGTGGCCCCCCTGAGGCAGAAGGTTCACTTATGAGCCTAAGGTTCTTCATTTCGCCTGCTGAAGCCATGGCATTGTTTTGGGGGCCAGCTTTGCTTCAATCTCTTAAATCAGCCTTGCCTCTAATCAAGGACTTTTTAGAACTTTCTGGGTCCACAGTTTGGAATTTCAGTAGTGGCTCAGCTCACTGATGTCCTGCACTATCACTGTACAGTAACTTTTAAACACGGATTCTTGCTTAGTATTTTGACACCTCAACATGTGCCTGGAATTAAATAATAATAACCAAGTGCTCACTGTATACCATGAAGTCCACATTCATTATTTTCCTTGAAATTTCACAATTACCATATGAGTGAGGTCCTGGTATTACCCCCATTTTAGGATGAAAAACTGTGCTCAGAGAGTCCAAGTGATTTCCTCTAAGTCTTGTAGGTAGTAAGAGGTGGAGATGAAATTCAAACCCAGAACCTAAGTGTGTGTGCTTCCTTCTTGCTCATGGCTGCCAGCACCACCACCAGTCCTATTTACCACTGCTTTCTTCTTGGTATTGGTTTCTTGTTGTCAGTAGAAGATAACGTGTTGTCTTAACACATTAAGATTAACTAACAACTTAAGTTGTCAGCCACTGATAACGTGGCTAACTCAAGGATGGGTTCATCTCAGTAGAAGTGTAGGAGGTAGGTTGAGGAGGAGGGTGGAGGGAAGAGAGAGAGAAAGGGAGAATTGACTTGAGATGCTTTTCTGAGTACATTCATGTGTGTGCAGACATGGGAGTTATATGAAAAATATTTGTCAACCTATAATCACCAACTAATTGGAATGATTTCTGTTATAATAGTGGTGTTGGAGGCACCTGACTATGACAGGTATTACCCCAGTAGATGCTGGATCTTGGGGGTGGTCTGAGAGATCTTGGGGAAGGCACTTAGAGATCCTCATGCCATAGCCATTTATCAACTGACAGCAGAACTTCTATATTTTTACATAGAGTATCAGCCCTATGTGGGTGGGTCTGAGGGAAGGAAAAAAATATTTCAGAGTGAGAAAAAGCTACTGCATACTCAAAGGTGTATTTGAAATATGTTAAATTTATATAACAAATCCTATCTCATCCTATTCCGGTCCTTCCTTTACAGAGCAGCCAGAATAATCTTTCTAAAACAAAATCTGACAATCTTATTCCTCTGCTCAAAGCTGTATGATGGATCCCATGTCTGTTTCCTCCCTGATTAGTAGAAATTCCTCAGCTTAGTGTTCATGAAGCCATTTGATCTGGTCTCCGGTTGCCTTTTCAACATCTTCCCTTCCTCCCAACACACACACATGTGCGTGCATGCACACCCCCCCCCCCATCCCTCCATGATATCAAAACTATTTGATATTTCCGGAACATAGTGGGTTGGCTCATGCACTTTTGTTCAAGAAGTTCCCTCCTGTAGAGCTTCTACTAATCCTTCAGTACTGAATCAAACATCAATTCTCTGGGAAGCCTTACTTCACACCTGGACATCACTAAAAGCACGCACATAGCTCCTTTTTAGCTCTGATTATCTTCTTTCATAATCATTGAGTTGCAGGTCAGACTCTTACCTCAGCTTGTGAACTCCAAGCACGTATGTCCATAGCAGCTATCTTTCTTCATCCTTGAAGCCTCTACTGTTAGCTCAATGCCTAATTCATGGGAAGTACTCAGGAAATACTCAAGAGGATACAGCATTTACTTCCATAATCTCACCGATCCATACATACCAAGCATGTGGGACGCAGCGTCTGAGGTACTGAGAGTTTTCTATATTGCACAGCCCTTATGTGGTAGGGCCATGCGGAATCCAGTCTTCCCATTCCAGAATGGAAAATCTGATGACATTACATCTTTTTATAATACTTCAATAATTAATACAGAAAAATCAAATTAGGACCTTTTTGGGATGTATTTTCCCTAAGGCCACATTAGTTTTCCTCTCTAATGTCTTTCTCTGATTACACTACAGGAGCCCATTCCTTAGGTCCTGCTGCAACAGGAAATTTACATGAACCTTTCTTTTTGGGAAGTGTGTCTTAATTGTAAAGTCTTATACCTTATGCCTTGAGTCTTGGACCTGTTTTGGGTCCTTCATTTGTCTGTCCCTCCTTCTCTTCCTTTGACTGCTGGCTTTTTCTGGGCCTCTACATCCAGATGTTCTGGGACCAAAGACGATCCTCTGAGTCTTGGCTCCTCACATGGTCCTTGGGATCCACCAAGTCATCCATTCCCCTAAGGTGCTTTCTAGGAATCTATAGCAAGTAGGGCTTTTAAACCATGGCCTTATGCAGAGCTCATGTGCGAGTGTGCTGCCTGACTTCTGTTTGTCTTCTAATGTTCTCCAGTATGCCTGGAGATGCTCACCTCCAGCTCCTCAATCCCATCTTAACCTTGGCATACTCAATTGCAAATTTCTCAAATTCTCACCACAGTTCTTTGCTACTCACGGCAACAGGATGGCAGTTAATTTCAGTTTGGCTATACATTACGTAGAAGGGTGGCTTACAGATAACTATAAATTCCACAAGTGGCTGGTGAAATACTCTGTATGGTCTTGGACTTGGCTTTAGACAGTGCTTGCATGCTGACATTGTTTTCAAATGAAAGTAAGCAAAAAAACCCAAAAAACAAAAAACAACACCCAAAAAAAAAAACAAAACAAAAAGAAAAAAACCAAAAACAAAACCCAACAACAACGAAAAAACAGAAAACAAAAAAACCCGTCTAGAGCTGTGCTGTCCAATATGGTAGACACATGTGGCTATTAAGCCTTGCAACATAGTCAGTCTTAACTAAGATGCTCTGTAAGAATAAAACACACACTTGATTTCAAATATAGTATGAAAAAAATGTATCTTTAAGAGTTTTGATGTTGAATGATACTATTTGAGATATTTGGGTTAAATACAATAAGTTGTTGACATCAATTTCTTTTTAAATGTGGGTAACAAAACATTTAGAATTCCACATGCGGCTTGCACCATTTTCTATTGGACTGCACTGCTCTAGAGGATTTGCCCGATAGCTCTTTAATAATAGCAAGCTAAATGTATACGGATAGACTAGTAAGTTAGTGCATAATGGAAAAGCAGAAAAGGTTATGAATGACAGAAGGAAGCTTCTGCCCAGATTTTTAAATTTCTGTTCCCTGAACGCACCGACATGCCACCTGCCTGAGAAGCTTTTACGAAGGTCTGATAATCCTCAGAGAAATGAGGCCGAACCAAATGGCATCTGTCTAAGGCTCGCTGCATGGTGCCTAACCTCAGAGGCTTAAAATCAATATTGATTTTTGTCATTATTTTACCCTGGCATTTAAATATCCCTTAGATTTATTATGCTGAGGTTTTTGGTTCAGATTCAGTGGTGGGTGTGATAGCAGGGGTGGTTATAAGTTATGTAGATATCATTTAATTTATGAACTCTGGAGCTTTGGGGTAGCTTTCAGTTCAAGAAATATATTAACCACATCCACATCACCCTTCATTTTGCGGCGAGGATTTCCAAGCTGGGTCCCTATTGTGCCACTTAATTTATGGTCTGGCCAGGTACATGGATCTGGGTACAATATTTCAATATAAGTTGCTCCTGCATTCAGAGGGGAAGAGGATGGGCTTCAAAGAGGTCGGCTGGACAGCTGATGGATTGCACTCTCTCCTATACATAGGTGGGGGCCTTAAGTAGCTTTTAGAGCTCGTCAGTGGCGTGGGTCTTTTTCTGCTCTGAGAAGCTGCACACAGCGGCCTGGACAAGCAGATCAGCCATGCTGCAACAGGCAGAGGGCAGCTCCCAGAGTTACTTACGTTGACAGCCGTAGTGCCAGGAATTTCCCGGCAGACACTCATCACACTTAGGCCCTGTTGTTCCCGTCTTACACTCACAAAATCCTGAGCCATTACAACGATCATGGACTGAGCCCAAAGGGTTACAATAACACTCTGTAGAAACAAGACAACACACAGGCTGGAGACAAGTCTGCACGGCTTATAGGTTATCAACACAGGAGCGTCACTTAAATGCATCACTTACTTAAAGAAAGATGTCCTCTAATGAAATGCTTTGGCAAATACAGCTATTTCAGGCCCCTTTATTTATTTCCTCAGCCTTCCATGATGCCGTTTTTATGACCTGGGAGGAAATTAACTGAAAACTTCCCAGGAAATAAGACATCATGCTCTTCATGGCTAACAGATCATAGTAGAGATTCTATTTGTTAGGGCATTTTTAGATGGTTTGATGAGCACCATGAGAAGTTTGTACATCAGGAATAAATCAATATGCCATCAGTGTAAAATCTGTTTTAAATTATTCAAATGGCCTTATCTGTTACACTCAATATTTGAGAACTGCTGGACATTTTTAAAGTGCAATATGAATGCACTTTGTTCACTCAAACGCATTTTTACTTTATGATATGGGAGAGCACTTTAACTTATTTATATATATGCTGTTTTGTGATGAGCCTTTAGATACTCTATCTGCTAGGCATGTTACTATGGTGTTTATGTGGCCTAGATTAACAATCCTGGAAGAAAAACAAATTTTGTAATCCCAAGTAAATTTCAACATAGGCATAATTTGAGACATATATTTCATTATAATCTCTCCTGGCAGGACAAAACAACTTTGTATAATACAGAGTAAACAGAGTATTTTCTGGATTCCTCACACATTCTCATACAGGATATTTGTACTTCTGAAGCTCTGTTTTGCCGAAAGGCTGAAGCCAAAGTGGCAATTCCTTAGGTTTCCATTAGTTTGAAAGGTAACAACAGCCAGTTTGCAGCTTAGTTTCTTTCCTTGTTACCTCACTGTATAATCTCGGACAAGTCATTATGCCTCTCTACCTCTCAGTGTCCTTTATATTAAAATGGTCGCATTCAAAGGTTTTCTTGTCAAAAAACAAATAAAATCATACCAACCAACCAACCAACCAATCAATCAACGGAAGCCCTGAGAGCTTCAGCTTAATAGCATCAAGTCTAGCATTTTAGACTGGCAACAGAGATTCAAGGTTTAACATTATAGAGAGGTCAGGAAGTTTTGTTCTGGTTTTATAATAGGGCTTAATTAGATAATGTCTTCAGAAAATGTGGAGGACCTTACGATTATGCTTTATTTCATGTTGTTTAGCCAGTTTTTGAGTTCTGCATTATTGTGATACAAGCATTGATAAGACTAATAGTGTGGCATATGAAGGTAAAACTAAAACTGAATAAACTAAAATGTTCCCTCCTTGCCTGGCTTGGTTTGTACTTAATAACTAGAGTTTTATTTTAAGTCAGAGTTTTCTATTTTAATGAGTGTACATGGGAGTTGTTTAAAAATTTTTTTAAATAGTAATTTTGTGTGGCTTTAAAATGTTTTGTGTACATATTTATACTATAAGTCTGCACCTATACTTATTCAACATTTAATATGTTTCTTACTATTTCAAATGCATAAGTTGACAGTGAGTCACCATCGTTTTGCAAACCAGGGAGTAAAGTTACATCCGGCCAACAGGAATTCACATACTACTCTAGTCAATTAGCCCATAGCAATTATATTCATATGGGATTTAGATGCAAAAAAAGTAAACAGAATTTTTTAAAAATGTGGAACACCTAAACCAGTGATTGTCACAGGAAGGGTGGTAAGTGTAATCTTACACAAACAGGAGTGAAAATAAGTGACAAGAAGTGTGATCTACATACCACCTTATGTACAAATAACTTAGGTTGTTAAAGAATATCACGTATAGGACCATGGTCAAGGGTAGATATTGGTGACGGCCTTGGAGTATTGTATTTTATTACATGAAATCAGGAAGAATATGCAGGACTGTTAGGCTAAAAAACATGAATTATTTTTGGAGTTTGATTAAAAAGTTATACTACAATTGATTTATAGGTATTAGAAGTGTTTAGTCTATGGAAGGCACCTCTGATTACCCGATCTTGGGTTTCAAGGGGAATACAAAGATAATAAATCATAATTTGAGATACATTTAGTAGCAACTGCTGAACCCTGTGTTTCATTCTGCTGTCAAGCTTGTTATTGGAGATTATTAGCAGTGATTACCCAAGGTCATGAACCACATACCCTCTAACTTCCTGCTGAATGCTTGAGTTTATATAAAACAGAAGCATGCAAGGGTGTCATCTTCATGTAATTGCTGCATCATACAGGGTAATTACATGCATCTTTGGAAACATGGCTGTGCTTGGAATCTGTATGAAAACGGGCAACTTCACCAGTAATCACAAGGCAGCAACCACTGTGGCAACACAGAATAGCCTGCATTTTATATTTGTCATAATATAAAATGACGCAAATCATTTACGACATCTATTTCAATGCAGTCTACATTTTGTCAAAGATTTGGCCTGTTCCCTCACAGCCAGGGTGGTGGATTTCATTGTCATTTGTTGAAGAGACGGCGAAATGCCTTTTATTTCCTCCCTTAAATTTAGAGAAGACTTAGGTGAAGTTCAAATTTTCTGAGATTGGTCCTTAATTCTGCGAAAGTGAATTGGGTAAATATCCATTCATTTTCATTAGTGCTTTCTATACAAAAAGGTATTAAACTCAATTATTTGTGATATACGCTCTTAAATTGAATTCTCAGTCCTGCCTCAAGCCCTTTGGGGAGCTTAATTGTGGAAAAGAGTGAATACTTTCATGCTTTCCCTTAGAACAAACCTTGGCAATAGGGAACCACAGGCTACCACTGACCCTCAGAGAGCAAACTCCAGCCTTAGTCTGGTGCATAGGCAGCCCCTCAAGTGGGAAAAGTGGAATGCATAGCTCTTACAGGACACAGCTCTTATTGTTATTGATTCATTGTACATATATATAGACTAAAGACAAAAGATAGATGATAGCATATACCAGCTAGCCACATTTTCCAATTCATTCTTTACAGTTTTGTGCCTTAGAAAAAGGGCAGAAATTGAAGGAATTTTGGTATGTGGGGGAATATTATAGCCGATTTTAATAGTGCCTAAAAATTCTCATCTTTGTGTTTACCAATTTGCTTGGTTTGGAGAGTATAAAATACTGAATAGAAACATGTTTGCTTCAATAAAATAAAATTCCCCAAAGATTTAGAATTTTAACTAACAAACTTTCTAGAAATGGAGAAAACAAATGCTCTTGATTTTTTTTTTTTTAGGCAGGAGAAGAAATGTATATTAAGCTTTATCATATTTCATCACTAGTTGATGTTATTTGAAAGAAAAAAGCTAAACAGGCCGTCTTCCTGTCTGTAGATAATCAAACATAGATTTACAAGAGGACTAAACCTCTTAAAATTGACTAGGAAATGCAGATTTTATAGTTTAAAAAATTACCTTAGGACTGGAAAAAGGCCAAAGCTCATAAGAACAGAATACTCTGTATAAAACATATTGGGACATTGTTAAGTTACCTGCTATTGGAAATTTTATGGAATCAAATTTTTTCTCTGATTTGTTTAAAATAATATGAAATTAACACTGTAAAACATGTTAATCTTAGGTATTTTATAGAAGTGATTTTTATTCTTGCATTCGTATTTATTTTATTTTACCTTTTGTTTCTGTATTCATAGGATGACATTTATATATTTTTACAAATGACATTCAGTGAAGTGTAACTCTACATTCAAAATTCAGACACCTACATGTCTTTTGGGTTATTAATAGCCTCAATCTTTGTAACCCCGATTGCTATAAAGGCCACGGAACTACTGTTCAGTAGTTCACTCACAGTGGAATTGCTACTGTCATCCAAAAAGCATACCTTAAGTAGAAGTCTGACAAGTTTAGTTTTGCTAATTATGTCAGGGTAGCCAGGAGAGGGTGTTCAAGCTTTGAAGTCAGGAAGCCAACTCTTTGCTAAAGCTGTATAATTTGGGCCAATCTGCCTTACTTTTCTCAACTAGAAAATAGAGGAATTTATCAGTGGAATACTTACCCCCTTGGTTTTGTTAATGAGGATTAAGTAAAACAAAAAAACACATCTGCGAGTCAGTTCACAGTTTCCCAAGTGTTTCCTGTGCCTCCCATATAATCCCTTGTCTGACCAGGAGTTCTGAAAGGACTTACCTAAGGCATACAGCTTTAAATAGCAAACTGGGGCTTGAACCCAGCTCTCTGGCCTCTAAGTCCAGTGATTTCTCCACTAATTCACAAATAATAAATAAGGAGGCATTTGGAAAAATAGAACATACTGTAGGTATTAACAGTATTATGTAAACTTGGCCTAATTGAATTCGAAACAACCTGTAGATCTAGTTTACATGATACAGGGTGAGTAGCCTAATGACCCAATCAGAAAACAATGATTTCTTTTGGATTTCTTTTGGATGGAAAAACCTCCTGTCATTTTTTCAGCATGTGTTTTCTATTGAAATTAGTCTTTATGTGAAAAGGTCTACTTTTAAAATTAGTAGCTAATGTATTTCCCTACTGGTGTGGTGACAGATACACGTGTACCTTGACCATTTCAAATACATGCATTTCTTCAATGTAAATTGTGAAGTGAAATTCCATTTATTGTTTCTTATTTTTCCATCAGCTCCCTTTCTTAAAGACAAGTTCCACTGTGCAAAAGTTAGGAAACTTTGTTGTGTGGGAGAATCTCCAGGTGACCTGAGCAGTGGCCGTGGTGGGGAGGGGAGAGTGCTCAAGGGAACCCTGTGGACCCAGTTTTCCCTTATTTACCTTGGAAGCTAAGAGAATTAGTTGCCTACAATAGTTCTGAGAAATCTCTTTTCCTTTCAGGGGCTATAGAAAAATTAAATAAATGGAATTTCCTTGCTATGGATGGAAAAGTCAGGCAAACTTCTATATGACCAGTTGCTAATGACTGTCCATTCCAAATGGTAATATTTTTAATCAATCAGTATTTGTGGATTACCAGTTACGTGAAACAGTTTATCCTAATTTCTCATATCTATAATTAAGTCCCATAGAATGAGTTTTCATTTTAAAAGTTGAAGGTACAACATAAGACTTTAAGATCAGTTTGATATTACCAGGTTGTAAGATATCATGCAAAAAAAAAAAAAGAAGAAGAAGAAAGAATAGTAGAAAATTCTTCACCTTCTAAACAATATTTTCAACTCATCATCTTCAAAGCAACAATAACATAAGGATTCAGAATATATCCCCCAATTCAACTGGCACAAGAGAATTTTAATTCTACCACAAGGATGTTTTCTCCATTGAGAAAGTTCATTCTGGCTCAGCCGTGGTGCAAATCAACAGCCTCTTCACCTCGAATAGCTCCCCACAGCTCGAAAGGCACAGAACAATAGCTGAAATTATAATGGAACTGACCTATGCACACATTCTCATCGTCCAGCTGTGCAGAAGCATTTCTGAAGTAGCCCAGCCTGCATAACTCACAGTGCTGCCCTCTAGTGTTGTGTTTACAGCTCACGCAAATGACTGTATTTAGCAGATCGATATAACTGCATCGATTGGAGTGGCCGAAGCATTCACAATCTTGCAAGGAAGAACAGAAATGTATACAGAGTGTATACAGTAGCAGAATAATAGCACACTACATGCTTGGATAAAATGAGGAGTGGAGAAAAGATGGCAGAATGGCATTACATCTATGTGATGCAACATGACACGTGGCTACCACAGGTGGTTGTGAGTGGCATGGAAGCAGCATCTGTTTCAAGCAGGATAGAAAGGTTGGACATTCAGAACATGACCAAAGAGTGTTAGTTCTTGGCATACAGCATGAACAGAAGCATTTGCAGGTGTACACCTTTTAAAATTTGGGAAGGCTCGGTTGCCATTGATGCAAATGTCTAATTTTTGCACACTGAGAACTTCATGGTCTTTACATCACTTCCCCCATCATTTCTTCATATTTGCACTCTCCAAAAAAAGGGAGGGAAGTATGTGAGTGTCTAGGCTTGAGCCTGCCATCACCCATGACTCCTTTGTTTAGTTTCATTATCATTTATGTTAAGACAGTAACTCGGTCAGGGTTTCACAGAAACTGTGGAAAATTTAGTAAGGATCTGGACAACTAAACAATTCTGTTTTCTTCCAAATGCTAAGAGGAGAGACAGCCTTTGTAGGCCTTTCATCAGGCCAAATCTGATGTTTGTTTATGTGTGAGAGAAAATACAAAAAAAAAAAAAAACCCCAAAGAGATGATTTGTATGGGAAAAGTGCTCTTAAGATTTCCTTTTCATCCAAATTTCAAGCGGAGTCCACCACAAAACAAGGATTAGGCAGCTAATGATTAAGTACCCCCTCCTATTTCCTTTTCTTTGTTTTCGCAGAATGTTGGAGGTGCCTCTGAGGCTGAGGTCCTGATGGTAAGAACTAGACAAGGAGATGGGGAAAGAGGAGAGCAGGTGGGGAGGGGTGGAAAGTGGCTACATTTTCTCTTGGTTGCATCTCAGCTAAAGCAAGAAGTTATTCATCTAATTCAATCTTTTTCAAAAAAGTGGTAAAGACAAAGCCTTAACCAGTAGCAATCACTATCAAATCAGACAGAAAAAGAAAAAAAAAGATGGAAGGAGTAAGTAGGTGGGGAAGCTAATTTGTCTTCTCAAAATATGGGGATAGACCTAACTGGACATTTATGAGGAAGATCAACGGCAATACTGCAAACCTTGTCTTTCTAAAACTACTCCTATTTTTATGTCTGGCTTTTATTTTTACCACACTAGGAAGCCAAACACAGACACTGCTTGATCCCATTCATTCATTCATTCATTCATTCAATAAATATTTTATTGGGTTGAGCTACCATATGCCAGGCACTATGCAAGGGACTGAGTTAGTCTTTTGGCCTACATAAACTTTGGAAATATCGCATTTGATGAGCAGAGTAAAAATGAATAAGCACTGTCAAAATGAATAAGGAAGAGTGACTGGATTTTTTTTAAACATGCTGATACTCATTGGAATGGTGTGGATTCATTTAGTGCAGAACCAGTTACTACAGCAGAGAGCTGAGGTCAAGGTCCTAACAGAAGAAAATCAAATCTGGATCAAAGCAGAGAACAACTGGATGTGGTGAAGAGTGGAAGATACCAGGATTAGGGGCCATACCCTGGGGATTCAAGATGCTTCAAAAGTGAGGCAAGAAGGGAGGGTCCTGAAAACAGGCTAGTTCATTCTTTTAGGGGAGTCTAGCTCTGTCCTGTGTGTGTGTGCGTGTGTGTGTGTGTGTGTGTGTGTGTGTGTGTGTGTGTGTGTGTTGGGGGCTGGAATCTGGAGGAAGCAGAGCAAGAAGGAGAGCAGAGTGGGAAGGAGGCCTATTCAGTAGTTAAGGCATGCCATATTAATAAAAATAAAACAATAACATGGGGCGCCTGGGTGGCTCAGTCGGTTAAGTGTCTGTCTTCAGCTCAGGTCATGATCTCACGGACCTGAGTTTGAGCCCCGTGTCAGGCTCTGTGCTGACAGCTCAGAGCCTGGAGTCTGCCTCAGATTCTGGCTCCCTCTCTGCCTCTCTCCCTCTCTTTCTCTCAAGAATAAATAAACATTAAAAAGTAAAAACAAAAACAATAACAACAAAAATCATAGAATTACAGATCACCAAATTAAATTTTCTTAGAAAACAAACATATCACTCCAATACACTATATCTTCCTGAGTTACACCTTGTTTATGCTGGCAATTCTGACTTGCTAGGAAACCTAAAAGGGCTCTATAACCTTCCTTGGTTGAGCATTTGAAAGAGGGAGAAACTTTCTGGTCTAGAGCCACCCGACAGTAGTGGTGGCAGTAATGAGATCCAAGTGCCAAATCTAATTGCTTCCTAAGGACTTCTTCCAAGCTGCCTGGAGCTGCTGTGTGGGCACCAACAGCCCTGGCCTCTGGCTCTCCCTTCTAGAAGAGGTTCCTTGGTGGCTGTTTTTCACATCCCCATCCCAGGCTGGCCCTTCATGCACCCAATATAATTTACCCAGCTTTGAAAAAGGCTGGAACTACACAGAAGTCCTTGTCGTCAGAAAACTAGTTTGGGGGGCACCTGGGTGGCTCAGTTGGTTAAGCGTCCGACTTCGGCTCAGGTCAGATCTCGTGGTTCGTGGGTTCGAGCCCCGCATCGGGCTCTGTGCTGACAGCTCAGAGCCTGTTTTGGATTCTGTGTCTTCCTCTCTCTCTGCCCCTCCCCCGCTCATGCTCTGTCTCTCTCTGTCTCAAAAATAAACTATAAAAAAAATTTAAAAAAAACTACTTTTGTGGGTAAGGCAAATATATGGTTAGAATAACTAGAGAACAAAAGAGCATGTGTTAAGAAAGCCAAACAGTGACACAAAGTGTTCTAAGGAGAAGTTCATTTAACTTGAGGGAAATTGGGAAAAACCAACTTAACACTGGACTTAACAACAGGTCATCTGTGAGGGCAGGTTGGGGTTGTTAGAAAAAAAAAGAAGTTTGAGGGGATAGGGGTGAGCATTTCAGGTGAAAGGGGAACAGAATGTGCAAAGTATGAAGCTGGGGAAAGTGTAGAAGCTGGGAAAATGTAGAAATAAGGCTGGAGAAGTTTCATAAATCAGTTCCTTCATGGGTGTTTGAAAGATTCTGTAAGATTTGCTCAATGGCCAGAACTACATGCTGAGCTCTATCTGACAGAGTTTTATCCAAGAAATAAAACATATCTACAGATATCCAAATTCAACACTTTTAAGACCCAGCCCACGAATCTCCATGGACACATCAAATGTCACACTATTACTATTACGCTGAATTCAATGAATAGTATACATTTTCATGATGACATTATTTGTTTCTGGGTCTTGTTTGAAGATCAATTAATTAATTTTGGTAGGAAAAGATAAATAATGTAAGTTGTTCAAATAATTATATATAGAACCATACCAGCTAAATGCCCAATATCAATACATTTATTTTAGAAGATAAGTAGATATTAAAATGTCTTTTAATCTAGGAAACAGGGTAGTGACTTGATTCTTTTAAAATTTCTAAGACTTTTCTGAGACTGCAATAAAGCTGTCTTATCTGGCCATGATATATCTGAGAATGTAAACTGACAAAAAGATCTTTGAAAATGATTTGAAAGACATGAGAGCACTGTATAAATGCAAGACATTTCAAATGTAATTATTAGGCTGCTGTATAACTTTTCAGCATTCTGTTAATCTACCACTCTTTAGGAGCTAGTCTTTCCAAATAGGCACAGAATCCTTGAATGATCATTAACGATGTAGTCTGAGTTACATTATCATATTAAGACCCTGCAGGGATGATACTACTAGTTCAATAATTCTTTGATCTCTCAATTCATTGACCTACCATGTCCTTCCTCCTCTTCTTACAAAGTATGAAGTCCACGGTCCATCCTTACAGCGAGTTCCTTTCATACGTTCTCATCTCCCTTGCCCTCTAGTGTCCAACCCAATTATAGTCTTCTGGGAAAACCTGTCCTGCTTAAATCCAACTCTCCAACTCTCCATCTCTTCATGCCTACACCCGAGCAGTTTAAGGTGGCTGAAGATTTTCTCCAACTATTTTGAAACAAGTTTCATTTTAAGTTTATAACCATAAGCCTCAAAGGGACCTTTAGTGCTGCCAGGAAACCCTTCCTAAAACAGGGGACTTCTGGGTCACCACTCTCTCTTGCTGCTTCTTCTCCACCCATGATTGTTTTTCTCTCTCTTTTCCTCTTGGTCTTTTCTCCTCAAATGCCTCAGGACTTAGCTCTTGGAACTCTTTATTCTTTGGGCTCACCCTAGAGCCAGGGTCTTTACCTGGTCTCCAGACGTTATACATCATCTATTTGCTGACCTTCCCAAAATAGTTATTTCAGCCTAGATCAACTCCCCCGTTAGTGAGACTGCCTCCAGACTGACATATTCAACTGCATTCTTTGTCTCCATTTGGACATTTACTAGATATCTCAACTTCAACACGTTCATAACAGAGTTCTTAGGTTACCTTCCCAAACCTGCTACTCACCCAGGCAGCCCATCCTGCCTCAGTAACGGCAACTCCATTCCTCCAATTGCTTAGCTCAAAATTCCTGACATTGTTCTTGATGTCTCTTTTCTTCTCATCCTTGACAACCAGTCAATCAGCAGATCTTCTTGGCTATGCTTTTTAAAATATATTCTAAATCTCACCACCTCTTACTATCTTATCTTGAATTAAAGGCACTTGGATTATTGCTGTTATAACCAAACGGCTCTCCTGGCTTCCATCATAGTGATAGCTCTTCTCCACACAGCAGTCAGAGTGACTCTTTCAAACTTAAATTCAGCCATGACATCCCTATGTTTATAATCCTTTATAATGGCTTTCCAAGTCATTCAGAATAAAACACAAATTCATATGCATTCATTCCCAACTGATCTGGCCCCTGGCCTCCCTGGTGGCTCATTGCAGTCACTTTCCTTCTCACTCGTTGTACAAAGCTTCCATGTTGTTTTGCAAACTTGAGGGGGACCTCCCTTGGGCCTTTGCTCTTGCTGGTACCTCTGGGTAGAATCCTTTTCCCCTAGACACCC